ATGTTCAATTTGAACATGTTATGAGGCTTCATAATGGAAAATTCAATGAAATAGCTCAAGCTACTTCTGGACTCAGGATCCTAGAAGGAATGAATGAGAGGATCATTAAAATACAAAAAAGACATTTGCCAACAATGGTGGCATGCCCAGTTGAGATCCTGGTTATTGAAATGGAGGAGTCATATTGGAGATTCCCCATCATTAAATATCTATAGGAACCATATCTGAAAATAGAAAGGCTTGTTATAAATCGAGTAGTAAATTATGTCCTTCTGGAAGAACAATTGTTCAAGAGAACTCCATAGGGTTTGATTTTGATGTGTATCAACAAGTTAGATGTCCTGAAAGTTATGGCAAAAATCCATGAGTGGATTTGCAGATCTCACCAATCAGGTGAAAATATGAGATGGTTAATTCATAGATATGGGAAATATTGGTCAACAATGAGAAAAGATTGTATTACTTATGCAAAGGGATGTCAAGCCTGCCAGAAGCATGGACCAATCCAAAGGGTCCCTACCATCCAGTTGCATTCAATTATAAAGTCATAGCCATTTAGGGTTGGGCAATGGACTTGATTAGCCAGATTCACCCGTCATCATCAAAATAGCATTCTTACATTATAGTGGTCACTGATTATTTCACAAAATGGGTAGAAGTAGTGCCTATGAAGGTTGTAGATAAGCAATAAGTAATTGGCTTTATCAAGGAGCACATTATTTATAGGTTTGGTTTGCCTCAGACAATTAATATTGATTAAGGCACTATGTTCATAGGGACAAAAATAACAGAGTTTGCATATGAGCATGGAATACAGATGTTAAATTCATCACCCAGTTATGCTTAAGTCAATGGATAAGCAGAGTCAACTAACAAAACATTGAAACTGATTCTAGAAAAGACCACAGAAGATAACCCAAGATAGTGGCATGAGTTATTGCCATGAGTCATATGGGCACATAGAACTTCCAAGAAGACCAGCATAGGAACAAAACTATTTAAGTTGGTGTATGGGCATGATGTTGTGATACCTATGGAAATAAATATAAGATCAAGATGGGTGGCAAAACACCAGGATATGTCGATGGATACCTACACCCAAGCAATATTCCTTGAGTTGGAAGATTTGGAGGAGAGTCAATTAGAAACATTAAATCATATCCAAGTTCAGAAGAACAAAATAGAAAGGACTTATAATAGAAATTTCAAGTCCAAGAGCTTCTCTAAAAAGGATTTGGTTTGGAAAACTATCTTACCCTTAGGGAGTAAAGATAAAGAATATGTCAAGTGGTTCCCTACTTAAGAGGGCCCTATTAAAATAGGGAAAGTATTATAAGGTGGAACTTTCCATTTGCGGTCCCTATAGGGAGAATGGCATAGAAAACCCATTAATGGTAGGTATTTAAAGAAGTATTATCCAACCATGTGGGAATCTTACAACATTAACTAAAGTAAGTTCATAAGAGGACCATGAGGTATGACTGCAGGAGTTTTAAGATGTACAAATAGAAAACAAACAACAAAAGTCAGAAGTAAATGTTAAGGAAAAGGAATGATTTACATTGCTGAAGTCATTTACAAAGTGAAAAGGCCACACCAAATTTGGCCGTTACATGAGATAAAATAGAAAATTACTGCACAAATAAAACGACCATATCTTGAAATCCATTTGTTGGCTATAAGTCCTCTTTGGGTCTTGTTTCAATCTAGGAGGAATAAGAAGAAATCTTTATTTTAGAAGAGGCTACAGTACAAACAGGCACTCTGTTGGCAATAGTCCCTTATTGAGTTAGAGACGAAGTTGAGTCAGCTTCATTTGTTGTTGTTCTATCTACCATTTGTATAGCTTGCCCAAAGGAAGAGATATATTGTTCTTCAGTCCCTGCTTGTTATTTGGAATTTTTATTTTGGGGCAAATCATCCCCAATAGCCGGATCGTTGCAAGGCTCCGACACAAGCTGGCCTTTTTCAGTAAAAGAAAATTCAAAAGGAAAAATTGTAGATGATTCTGCTTGGAGTTCTCTGCGTAAGTCTGATGTTAGAAAGGATAGGTCATTGGGTTTTCGATTGACAAAGCATAGCCTGGATATATATCCATTCGAATGGTCATTAAAGATCAAGGATGAAGCACCTTGCCACCAGTTTACAAAGAAAGAAAAGGCAGATGGTTCCCCATGAACGTCTTAAAAGATTTGTTATAAGTTGAGGAAATAAGGTGAACAGGATAGGGGTCTCTAAGCTTGACCTTTCAATTTGCATGCTCATCAACAAGGGGATGCATGAAGGGCATTTATCTGACTAAGAGAGTAAGTTTTGAAACTACACCAAGTGTATTTGTAATCATAGATTGCAACACTCGTATGAAGGTAGTGAGGAAGAAGGATATTGTCCCAAAAAGTGTGGAGATAATTGGCTTGCTCATCAGTAAGATCGATGGAGGCATCAAAGAATACTTTAAGATGCAATGAGGAGTAATGGCATTCAGAAAAAAAAAAAAAAAAAAAAAAAAAAAAAAAAAAAAGGTAAGAAGAGAGAAGGACATCTATCGAACTCTAAGTCATGAAATGCCTTGAAGTAGAAATCGAAATCCTTATACAAAGATGAAAACACTGACATGAGGAATTAGTAAGAATAGTTGACATGACGAAATTTTGGCAAAGGAAGATACTCAACGGCCCAAATTTTAGGAAAATAAGCATATAGTCATGCCTGAAATAACCGAAAGGGTCCTCCATAGTGACTGTCAATTCTCCTTTCGGCCATACTGAATAGGCTTCTATAAAGAGCTCCCAAAACAAAAGGGCTAATGCCAATATCTTTTGATCTGCCAAAGGGATGGTGATGTTATAATACTCAGCGGTGACTTTGAGATTGGGTACGCAAAGAACAAAGCGGCAAAGCCAGTGAAGAAAAAAAGCTACATGTTGTTTATAGGAAAAAGGGTCAGATTCTGGTCTGCAAAAGAAGGTGACATGATCGGAGTAGTCGAAATTGGTTGGAATATCTATCAAAATGTAGTTAGGCTTTAGATTTGTTGTCACCTCAATCCCAAACGATTTTAGCCCGGTTAAATGCATCATATCAACAATTAATGGAGACATCATGCCAAGGGGAAAGAACGTGGCATTACAAGATTTTGACCAAAAACGACTAGCTACAGCTATGAGCCAGCGGTTCATGAACAATGGGCTTGTTGAGAGCTTGATTTGTGTAAAATTTTTGCTTTTTCCATTGGTCAGAGAAGTATGTCTCCATTCATTCCACCCAGTCAAACAATTGTTGGTTTGGGTCAACCCAAGTCTTCATAGGAGTGATTCCTTGGTCCAAAAACTTCCATCGAAAATGGGGGCAACAAAGCATTAAGACTTCTTCATTTGAAATGGGATAGTGCTTAGATAGTGCTGGAAAATTGCCTAATTTAAAGGCAGGACCTAATGCAAAGTTTGAGTCAGAACTCTATCATGAACCCACTCTCGAATGGCATATCTGAGACTAGTAGAAAAATGAAGAATATGAGAGGTATCTAGAGAAAGATCTACAGACGTGGAGTGATCTAGCTTTCGTTTAGATGCCATTAAGGAAAGTCAAGGGTTTGAAGACCAAGCAAGGAGGAACTATCAAGGGTAAAAGTAAAATGAGGAATATGAACGAAGGTTTGGGTGAACAGTACAGTGGCTAAAGTCTTTAAATAGGTGTTCAAAAGTAGAGCAATTACAGACCGTTGGATTGCCTGAGTTGTCACTTGGTGGAATGGTTCAACCATTTAAAGGCACTTTAAGTAGATGATTCGAAAGGAACAACAATCATGACTATTCATTTGTCTAGGTAATTAAAGATTAAACCTAATTAAATGAGAGGGTATTGTTTGGACCTAAAATATAAAATTCTAAGAATGCTCGATAAATTGGCATCTAGCAAATCTGAAGGTGTTAAGAGGAGGCTACGTGGCAAAATTTGAAAAAAAAAGTGGGAAATGATCAGTCATTGCCTAATTTTAAAAGGAGAAATAATTGTCTGAGAGTTACCAGTCAAATAACTGTCGATAGAGATAAAACTGTCGAAGATAGTGGCTATAAAAAGCAAATAATAGAGAAGTCATATTACACATTTAAACCTCCACAAGACCCACGATCTTGGCATTTTTCAGAGTAATTTTAGGTTAGTTTTAGAAAATAAATACTGTTGTAATTAAAGCTATTAATTCAGTCTTTTTTGCAATTGAAATCTCTTCGACTGGATTAACAAAAGAAATTTATTTTATTAGTTCATTGTACTATGCGATTATCTCCTTAAAATTCATCAAAGAACGTCTTGAAATAAGATAGTTGAACTCATCACAAACAATCGCCTTAAAACTATTTGTCGATTGAGTTTACTTCAGCAATAACAATATATTTTTGTACAACAAATGGAAAACTTTCAAAAGTAGGCCAAGAAAACTTTTTGTACGAGTTTAACAAACAATTTGATCGTGTCAAGTGATGCACATAATCAATCAAAAATTATACATTTTTAAAAATCGTTGCCACTCATCACTTTCTCTGATTTTTTTAATCAAAAATCGTTGCCTGCAAAAACAATATGGTGTAAAACTCGGTATAAAATTTTCTGTGTAAATTGTTGCCCAAAAACGGTGACATCTCTTGTCACCAGTATTTTTATTTCTACGTAGGTTGGAAGGTTGAACTAGAGCCACTAAGGCTCCCTATCTAACATTGTCATTTGTACCAATTAAATCTGGCTGTCACCGTTATGGAGCTAAGGCCAAATTTCTGCCGTACATCTTTGAAAACCCGTAACCGACAAGTTCACCGACTACTCCCCAGCAAACTGCATTTAATTAACAGTAGTGCGTCACCACCGCCAATGTGGTCCCAGCCGGCTGTGATCCTAGCATGGCCCAAATTCACACGAGCCATCGTGGAAACACGTTTTGTGTCTATCTATAAATCCATCTGCATATACTCCATGCAAAACCAGTATGAGAAACAGAGAGAGAGGACTGTGTCTGGATGTGAGAGGGAGAAGTGTGTGTGTGTGTGTGTGTGTGACAAAGAGAGAGAGAGAGAGGGATAGAGATCAAAAAAACTCAAAGACTTCTCCAATCCAATGGCTCTGTTTGAATCAGAAATTGGATGCAAGAAGCACTTAACCCACCAGCAACAACCGGGTGTTTGTTCTTCGTGTCTCAGAGAAAAACTCTTAAGGCTCTATGGTGGCTCCTCCTCTTCTTCTTCTTCTTCTTTTTCTTCCTCTTCAAGAACCAAAAGGAACAGGGCTTCTACTTCTTCATGTTCTTCTTCTCTCTCTTCATCACCAGCTGCTAATTACTACTCTTCTGCTTCTTCTTCCACAAACATGTCTCCTCTTCATCGTGGTCATCATCGCATACCTTCGGCTCTTGTGGGTTCGATCTCTTTTGAAGTAACTGAAAACGGTGTGCTGAGAAAGAGCAGGTCGATGGCGGTGGTGGCGAGAGGCGGAACTGGGGAAGTTTCGGGTGGCAAGAAGAGAGGAGGATTCTGGTCAAAGCTGCTTCGGTCGACTGGGAAGAGCACTAAGAAGGTTTTCATGCATTCAAGGACTGTAAAATTAGAAAGCTTTGAGTAATAGCTGACGAATCAGAGGAAAACAAGAACAAGCTGTTTTGTTGTATATTGCTTTTTTGATCTCTGTGCTAAGGATGATGAATGTGGAAACTGGAATTTTCCTCTTTTTTTTTCCCTCAGCAGTCAGCAGATAATGGTTATACACTAAGAGTAGCAATAACTAGCTGATTTTATAATAATATTTGTCGATCTGCTTTTATTTTAGATGATCTAAATAATTATAATAAAAGTTTAGTTGAGATGAGTTGAATCGAAAACAAACAAGTTAGTTTGTGCCTGTGAAATTACCATGAAATCATAAAAATTGTGGTAACAAAGACGAGAGTGCAAAATTCGTCGCTAGGGATTCAAAATTATCAAGGTTACATTTAAGACTTTCCTTCCGACTCATTCGATTATGTTTCATTTTTCTAGTTCTAATTAGGGAAAAGAAATGAGGATTTTATTTTGAGGGAGTCAAACGACCCATGTTATAATCAAAGTCATTCCTTATGTTATAATCAAATTTTTAGTTGTAAAAAACTTATCAAAATAAAAATTAGTTTGGATCATAATATCTAAAAAATATATATATACTTACAACTGTAAAAATTAATATGCGACAATATCACGTTCCACGCATTCTCTTATTTGTGATATAAAGTGATTATAAACAAATGGCCATCTTAAATTTGAGTTTCACACGATACCATCTTAAATGAGTGGATTTGGTGTGATATTATGATTTTTTTCTTAGTCATGGGTTTTTTTTCACTAAAATTTGTTCGTTTTTATGTGTGATTCTTTTGCCTTCATTTGTTATAGAAACTCTCATATTACCGCTAAATCTTTTTATTTCGTATGCACACACACAAGAAAATACACGTAAATTTTGAACATATTTTATTCAGTATCATATTACATTATAAGAATACAAGAAAATCAATAAGGTCAAGTTCAAGTCCAAGTCTAATCACCACCTCAAAAAGACTTCACTTTTGGATGGGTGGATGAAAGCCTAAAAATCTTGCCGATGTAGAATTTCAATTCCTCTTTAGCTAATATCATATTACAGTCGTAAGAGTCCAAGAACGCCAATTTAAGTCTAATATTCTTTGTTTCAAAGTTAGTGTTTGAATCGAAATCTGGCCATCGACTATGTCATTTTCATGCATCACGTGTGTTGAACAACAACCGTAAGAAAATTGTCACTTTGACCATAGCCATGGCCAGTGGCCACCCAACAAGACAAGACTTAAAATTTTCTACACCGTGTGTCAGTTTACAGGAATTTATACGACACCACTAATTAATTTGAATAATAAATGAGTCTGGTTAATATTACATTAATATAATCTAATTTGGATATAACAATCCCGTTTGTAAATAGAAATGCTTGATTTTTTATTTTTTTTTCCTTCCATTTCTTAGTTTAGTGATTACACGAATCGTTGTAGAATCAAACGATTTTTCTTTTGATCAGGTTATAATGTGAATCAAGTAGAATATTTATCAATCTACAACAAATTTTGAAACAAAATCACTAAACTACGGCACTATAAACTTATTTATCAAACTATGGTAATTTTTATGAAATGGTGTTATTGAAAAGTAGAGTTAACAATCCCGTTTTTAAAAAGTACCATAGTTTGGTAAATAAGTTCAAAAATATCGTAGTGAAACAAAATCACCACAAACTAGTAAATAATTCGGACCTATGTGTAGTAAATTTAGTTGCAGGAAAGGGCGGTCCTACCCTTGTGGTTTCTAGTTTAAAGACACAAACATAAGATGAATATGATACGAATACGAAACGACTTGTATTTAAGATAATACGATCCAAAACTAATGTGAAACGACTCAATTGACACCTCTACAGCAACAATGGACAGCATGTCAATCTAGAAATAAGATGTGCCATTTAGAAAAGAAAAATTTACAGTCCAAGGACTTCAAAATTTTGGCGTCCAAGTATGGTATCTATATTAATAAAACAGAGCCTCCTGCTTGAGCTCCTCAGTTAGAAAAGCATAACAACGACCTAGATCGTTTCGATCTGACGATTTATATCTTTTAGCCTTTTAACTACGATAGTTCATTTAAATTTTAAATTTTAATCTGAATTCAATAAACTTGGAAGAAGTTGGTCCAGTTTTGGATTTTTTGACATTGAGATTGACAGCAACAAGATAGCCAACAAGATGTTGCAAAATACACTCATAAATTATTTGACGGGTGTTTTAAACAAACCTAAGTGCTTATGCCAAATAGCATACACCACTACAAAGGACAATGCATTAGGTATTTGTTGGCTGTTGGTGTAATCCAGTGGCCATGTATGTCCAAAGGGCCCTGTGGACTTGTACGTTTCTGCTTCATGAAACTTGTCCACTTCAGGTAGGAATATGTCTTCTTTTTTTATGGGAAGAGGAAAAGGAGATTGGCATTTGAAACAATTTTCTCTCTCCACTCTTTCATTTAATCATGTAGAGCATAATTCCACAGGCTTGGGAATCAGTTTCCACAAATGTGTACAAACCATCTCAATCAGGAGTTGATAGAAATGAAAGGAAAAAAAAAATAGAGTTTGCCAGTTTCCCAGAGAGAAAAGACTAAGAAATGGAAGCAATTGATCCCACAAGCTATAAGACAAGGAGAGAAGAGAATGAGTCAGTGATTAGGGCTTCCATTATTAAGTTTTTCTAGCAAAAACAATGGTATTGAAAAAAATTTGGTACCGTATCAAAGTGACTACAAAATAAGTGAGATTACAACTCACTAATGAATTTTATAACAAAATGAGATTGTTGACTGATCTTCACCATGAGTAACAAGTACATTCCATTTACTATAAAGTTCAGAGAGTGGGTAAGAAATTCGTATAATCCCTTCTCTGGGATCTGTACATCTTGTGACAATCAGTGACAACTACATTCCATTTACTTGAAAGTCGAATAAACCGTATACATTATCTGGTGGGCCTTGAAACTCCCATGTCAATCTCATCGCCGTCCTCATCCCTACGACTAGAATGTTCTAAAGCAGGTCGTTTCAATCTTTGAAATATCTCATCAAGGGACTCAGACGAGGACACACGAGTGAGATGATTGGCGTCCTGAAGTTGGCGAGAAGGAATTAATTTTTTGGCAGCTACGTTCGCCTTGAAACTTTGAAAACCAGATTTCATTGATGCCCATTTTGAGGCTAAACCAGCTGGAACTCCTGGACTTTCGCTAGACGGAGATCTCCCTGCATCAAGCAAAGACACTTTAGCAGAGGCTATATTCTCCACTGGCATCATGTTGGATGCTTGTATGGTCTGTTCTCTCATGGCAGCATATTTGCTGCTGATGACTTCTTTGCTCCCTCCATATCTACGGACCTCATCTTTCAGAGGTTTTGATGAACTTCCCTTCAAATTGTCCTTGGTTAAATTGGTGGTTGCCTTCATTTCGACACCATTCCTATCCTGGATATTAATACTTTCTAGTTAGATGTAAACTATCACCCAACCAATGAGGTTCAGAAAGGAAAGGAAATTACATAGAGAAAAACATGGTAGAGAAATTCCAGTCAAGCCACTGATGAATGGAAGAATTTCTTAGTCCACAATCATCAATAAATTCTGAAATGTATAACAAACTGGGTATTTCAACTTGTTTTAATGATGACACCAAAAGAGGGGAGGGGGAATGTATTGTGAGTCGTCCTCAAGGTATGTAGACATACCGTGCTTTTGATACCAGATTCCACATCTATGGCCACATCGTTGAAATTTCTAGCCAGTGGAACAACATGTTCACCAACTATGCACCCTTCTTCAAGCCAAGTTCTTTCTGGAAAAAAGGGATGGTGAATATTCTAGCATATAATTAAAAAAGGGGGTTGCTCGACAGCATGGAGAACAAACTAATACAACCTTGTTAAGTACTTCGAGCAACAAAAAGATGAACACCTCAAATGTTAATATTCCAAAGTCTAGACCACATAAAATATTGCAGCAACAAAGTCTATATAGGCTTACCTTTTTGCAATATAATTAATCCTGATGGATCAAAACCATCCATATCATCTGCCTCAGTTTGAAATCTAAATATCTTCCAGTTTCCAAAGAAATTAATAACCCGGTCAAAGAAGTTGCTCACAACCAACAGTGTATATATAACCATCATAAGTGGATAGATTCTGTTGAATCCACTCCCAAAAAAAGGGACAGCTTGATCAATGTTTCCCATACGCTGCAATCATAAATACATCAAACATTGATGAAATATTATTAAACATAGGGCACCAAGTATGGGTGTAGGTAACACAAAACACCAATTCAAGAACTAATTTCCCATTTGAAAACCATTCATAATCCAAAGTTCTAGCTCACAATTCTAGAGTATTATTCATAAGAGCAAGCTGGGGAAACAAAGACAGTGAATTTATACAACATATATTAAACCAGAAATTGTGCTAACATTATTTTGAAATTACCACTTTCTTTTGCTCTTTATCTCATGTCTGCACAAGAAACCAGTATGTCATTCCCCCAGTCTTTAAAGTTGCCACCAGGTATATAAACACACCCTTAATGGTCCATTAGATTGGTTCATTAATCCTATTAGTAGGTCATTAAGAGCAAAAGTTTTGATTAATGATCATATTACCAGTTAAATACAAAGTGGAGGTGGAACAAAGGATACACAGTAAAGGATAGATAATGAAGAATTATGTCAAACGAATCATGTCATAACTGTGGGAAACCCTGCAGGCAGAAAAATAGGGAGGGGACGAAGAGAGGGGAGAGAGATTACTGATGCCTGTAGAAATAATTATAGGAATCAATGTTTAAGAAGGGAAAATAAAAATTACTCTCTTATGCTTTTCCAGCATAGAAGGAGAAGTTCCTTAGACACCAACAACAATATTTGAGCAAGAATTTCTTTCAAGTTCATAAACAAGATTCTGCAAACTCCAATAATGGCTTCCCCTCACAGATCCTGTTTCTACTTCCCAGAAGAGGAATATCTATCCATCTGGTTCATTAAATGATAACCAACACCAAAACCAGCATATTTCAAATTATATGCCCAGTGGAATTCTAGTTTTTCTTTCCTCTTTCAATTTCATGGAACAATAAAACAAAATCATATGAAAATCACCGGATGCAGGTATATTACAGGCCTTAAAAAAAAACGAATGTGACCAGTGAGTTAACAATTCACAACCAAAGGACACAATAGAAGGGAGGCTTACCTTTTCAAAAATAGTTTCCTTAGGTTTATTCTTCTCACCAAGGACAATGAGATTGAGGAAATTGTATGAAATTGGAGGTGCATACCGAGCTACCATCCTGGCAGAGTAGTTAGAATGAAGTCTTATTATGACCTTTCTGTCAAAAGGAAATATCAATGAACAAAGTTCAAGAAAACACTTACGAGCATATCATAAGCAAGCTGACTGAGCTGGTTTGTTTAGGTGTAAATGAATAAAACATTAGCATTCCAACCTTGAACAATGAATAGTATGTGCAGACGCACATATACATCAGGGGAACAAAAGCAAAGACCTAAAGCCAGGGAGAAAAGAAAAGCACCAATTAAATTACACTTTTTAGAAGAGACATTACACTTATCATAGAATTGGAAATATAAAGATAACTAGCAGAGTAGCAGACATCAAAAAGGTGAATTGTGTTGGTTTATGGTTCACAAACTATAAGCTGAAAGAACGATAGTAACAGCATTGTATGGTTATTTTAAACCTTCAAGGGCTATTGCATATGGGAAGTATGGTTATGTTAATCCTCCACAGGCATAGATGTATTGCATACGGAAATATGCCACATACACTGTAAAAAGGCAATCATGCAATTTGATCCAATTAGAGTGGTATGTCAAACTTAATAAAATATGGCTCGATAGTGAAGACGGGCAGAAGTGAGAATGGGTCAGAAAATGAATTGACTAAGACAAACTAGAGTGTCTTTCCACTGGCAGATCTACTGTCAAGAAAATCAACCATTAAAAATCATGCATCAGGGAGTCAGTAGTATTTAAGGTAAAGGTGGGGCATATATTTTTCCAACCCATGAAAAGCACAACAATTATACTTCAGTAACTTGTTTGGACAAATCGAGTGAAGACACTAAATAACACTTATAAACCCAAAAACAAGAAAAGAAAATTAGGCATAAAATAAATGATCAAACAAAAGATTCAGAATTCGTCCAAGTAGTTTATAAGTTTATTAAAGATGCACAACAAATCATCCTACTTGTCATAATAAATGCTGTGATGAGTCTCCACGGTCCCAAAACCACATAAACAAAGCTGTGTGTGGGAACCCAATCTATCCTTTATGTCAGAGCCCAGTCATTCAGGGTAATCAAGAATTATTGTGTTAGTTACTTTTGGACATCCCATCATCTTCAAAGTTTTGTCCCACTTCTTTTGAGTTTGTTTCATTGACCCAGTGATGCAGATTGAAATAGACTTTAGGAAGAAAGAACCCTAGCTTTATTTGACTCCTATGCTTTCTTCGCTAGATTTTTCTTCTTCTTTTTGTTATTAATTTTCAGCCTTTCTCACCCTTCTTGAAGGCTAAGAATCAGATCTGAGCCACCTTGATTTTGCTCTTAAAACATAAGTGAACAAGCTCAACTCAACCTCACAATTCGTCATCCATAACCTACCAAAACAGCCTGAAATCAACCACAAATTACTATTAACATCACTGTTCATCAGCACCATTTCAGGCCACAAAAGTCCACCTTCTATTGTCTTAAGGGAGGTCCTCTGGTCCTACATTACTTAACATATGCAAAGCAACATCAAGTTTGGGTAACATTCTTTCAAACAACTAACCCATATTTCCTTGGTTAATAAGAGGAACTTCATTAAAATAAGCAAAGCAGCAACTAGAGCATAACATACAAACATGTGGTACACAAAATTTGACGAACCAAACGAGAAATATTGAAGCCATTCATTCCACATTTTATCTTTATTGGAGTCGTAAAAAGCTACAAAGCTTACTATCGATGTCATAATTGTCCTTTGTTTGGTCAGAAGCATATCCATGGAATTCTTTTGGGTCAAATAATATTATTGAACCTTTATAAGTCGTTGCCTAGTAGGTCCAGAACATTCTATCAAGTCAAGATTTGTCAGTTTCCTATTTTAAATTAACAGTCGAATATATAATCTGGAGCAATCTAGTAAGCTAAATGTCAAAGTGTTCTATTAATTCAATTGAGTTGAGCCATCAGAATATGCTGTTTATATGGTCAGTGATTTGCCCTACTTTTGGGCGCACCATACGAATTTGAGACAAAATGTCCTTTTACCCAAATATCTGGCAATAGATCTTCTAGCATACAACCCCTAAGCATACAAAGTTCTAGAAACTTTTTCTGACCGAAAAATAACTCCTAGGCAACACTCTCCACTCTGGAGTTTCCCAAGAACGGCCTACTCAATTTGGTATTGTAGTACATAGTCTAGTGTTTTTATGTGAAAGACTTAAATTAATTTAGTGATATCAAGTAGGCAAGTATTCTATGCACTCCTCCAGCACCACTCACCTTTCTATTATGTTTAAATTAATTAGAAGATATAAAACAGAGTTCAAGAACATGGAACCACAATTTATCTGACCACCAGACGCTTGGGAATAAAGATGCATATTTGCATGGTTGGCACTCGAAAAGCCTATGAATGGCCCAAGCAAAGGTTACCATTGACCTTTATCATCAGTGTTTAAAAAACAGCATTGTTATAATTTAATTTGGTAGAGGTAGACGTACCAAACACTGCATGTTAGCTTGGCATGTCCACATAATGATTATACACATGTTTAATGGTGCAGAAATACAGAGACAGAGAAGACACGAGCACACCAATTCATTAAAAAAAATTCCATGGTGGCCAAATATCATGATCTTTATACAAAAAGACTGGAGTGACATAATAGTCTACTGTAGCAAAAAAAGTCTTTATCAAAGGAAAAATGTTCACTGCAATAAAAAGTGCATACCTGCACGAACACCTCTTGCTTGCCTACAGATTTTATGAGAATTGAAAAAAGGGATAAATCAACACTAAGCAACAAAGTTGCCTCTGCTAAAAGAATTGCAACTGACATGCAACCAACAATGACCGCCAAAAATTTCTCCAGTTGCTTCCTCAAAACACATCGCCAGATGAATTCTGCAAGGGACCATGAACCATATAAGGTAACAATCGTGATCAAATAGATCCTGTCATGTCTATTATATAAAAATAACGCAACAGAGGTAAATGCATGGAGGAACAAAATTACTTTGACCAAATTAAGCCTAAACAGAAAATGGATCTTATATGTGCAAGAAAAATTGCAAAATTTGCAGAAGTTTTCATCAATTAGCATCCAATAGGAGTCCTAGAAAAAGAAGGGGAAGAGGGAACAGGATTCCACTTGGATTTTTCTTGATTCTCGACTTTTTCGAAGTCCATTGCCTATTTTTTGAACTCGTTTTATTGTTTGTGTGGTGAGATGTACAAGTGATGAGATATTAAAAATCCTAAAGATTTAGTCTGTGAAAGTCTAGGGCAAAAAGCTAATTTTGTAGTAGCCAGTAGACTAGGTCCAATTAGCTAGGTCCAGTGTCAGTTGATTTTCCAGATGTTCAAGACTCAAGTTTTCATTTCAGACTCTGTTTTTGTTCCAAATCAGCAGTAATTCAATTTCCGAATGTCCTAAACACAACTGTGAGCCTTTAAACATTTTTTAATCCAGAACTCAAGTACAACATCAAATAATCCACGTGACTTGATTGCAATGTATCTTCACTCTTCCTACCATCAAGGTACCCGTCATTGCACTATAACGAGATTTCAAGAAAATCCCAACAAGATTGTCAATCACAAATGGGTCGATCAACAAACCCACCTCCAAAGACCCCAATCAAGGATTTGGTGAAGATTTTCTAAGCTAACCTACCACCTATCCACTATCGCTATCTCCACCCATCATAAAATCACAAATTCGAGAACTTAGAAGCCCCGCCTAGAGCAAATGTCTTCTAAAGTGTGCAAGACTAACGTGTGGCTAACTGAATGAGCAATAATACAAAGATTAGAGAGAATACTACCTTGCTCAAGGTGAGTGTAACAGCCCACTCAATCTTTCTGAAAGTTTATATCTGTGCTCCCATGGATGAAGGACACAAATGGTAGATTTAACCTGTAATCTACCAATGATCTTCTACATGCATGGGAAGTTTTAACTCTTACCACCATCAAGTATCACATGTTGAGTTGAATTGAATATTTAGTGGTGTGGGTGTGACTGTGGATGCAACAACTAGCCAATGGCCGGCCATTCTTTTAAAAACCGCCACACCTAATTGATCGGGATGCTAGCCATAGTGGTGGCCAGTTTGCCGGTTGATCACTCCTGTTCCAAAAATTACAAATAGGCCAGCCAACCATGAGTGAAATGTGCCTAAATTAAAAATTGTGTCTTAACTAACCTAGGCACTGCTTCTGTTTTTCGTTTGGATTCATCCGAATTACAAAGTTTCCCTAGTCTTGACTTTGACTAGTTCCCTTGACTCAATTGAACCACCTTTTTTCCCTTGAACCTTCTTGAATAATCCAATGCATGTTGAGACTTGTACTTGCTCTCTCTAAGTTCCACTACCTGAAGAAAGAAAAGACTAGGTATATGCAAGTCTAATATCCTCAGATAAGTCTTCCCTAAAGGAAAAGCTAAAATGGTAAGTGATCTGCTCAAACTATTGGGATCTCCAAAACCATTCTCCAAAAATTTAGAAATCTAAAGTTTTTCTAAGCTACTAAAGCTATGGCATCCTGAATTCACCAAAGGTGTCAGAGGTACTAGGACAAGTGATTCTGTGGCATGGAGTGATTTTTCTTGAAGGATACAAACCACTCCAGCCTTTAAAGCCTTACAACATAATGGCTCTGATATCAATTGAAAAGAATCCTACAGTAGAGCGAATGGAGAAATAGGACTAGGATTTTTCTCGATTTTCAATGTTTTCAAAAATTGTCATCCTAGAACCCAAAGCTAACACCTACCATAAAAACCTGACTCACCAAAACAAATGAAGAATTCTTATTTCTCCCTGACTGTTTACTTTTGGAATAAAAGTAAAAACAGATAGGTCTTCCATGAAAATAAACCATCACCTCAACTACATATTGCACAGACCACAAATTATTATTCAGACATATTCGTTTCTTTTTGAGGGCGATTAAATTTGTATGGAATCATATTCACTGCAGACAGTGAGAAATCCAAACCAAAAAAAAAAATTAACAGCCCCAGTAATTACCTATAGTGTCAAAGAAGGATCCTAATGTGCCAGACCGTTCGGAGCTGAAACTTGAAACAAATTTCCTGCAAAGATAACGGGATTGATTAATATTTAGAACGCATCAACCAGGAAAACATGAAGTTCCAAGTAATATATTGTAGTAACAAGCACTTAGCTCAAGATAACTATGGTATAATGATGAGAAAGGTACAAGGATGTACAACACCACGGGTGCATCTAGGCATGCATTCTCTATTTCAAGAACTTGAACAAAATTTAGAGTAACAAAACCAGGAAAGCAAAGTGTAATCCCAGGTTCACTACACAAACGTGACCTTAAAGCAACCAGGCTTTACTGAATTTTTTTTTTTTGGGTGGGGGAGGTTGGAGCACATTTCCCCCAAAAAATGCTAAATATATCGTAGTTATGTAGAATTTCATAAAGTTTTTAAGTGTGCAGGAAAAATTAACAGCAAGTACTTCAGTAGATCAGATCCATATTTGTACAATGATGATCAATCATCACTTTGATGGAATTTGAGGAAAGTATGCATTTCTATGTCTGCAAAATTATCCCAGAAGAACTGGATGATCATGTGAAAAGAAAGAGATACATGGAAGGTATTTGAAATACATCAGTGTAAACAAGCGGTCAAATACTAATTAAATAAACAGAAACTGGATAAAAAGGTCCAGCAGACACTACATATGCACCTTTGTACATATGCCCAATGAGATAAATAAACCAAATTTTGGACTTCTTCGGGGTTCATCAAGAAATTAGTAACTACCATAAAAATAAATATGCAGCAGACAACCAGCCTAAGTGTGAAAGCTAAGCATCACAACTATAAGAAATCCATAGTGCATAAAACCACCGTTAAGAATCAAAGCTTGAAATGACAAGCAAGTGACATGCCTCCATGGACCAGACCTGACACACATTCTCGAGCAGACTAACAAAATATGAATTGAGAAACTTTGGCGTTATTGCCCTGTCATGTGGTCTCGGGAACTTACAACACAAGGGTAAACAATATAACATACGAATTGACGATACTGGTCAAGCATGGGAGCTGGTAGTATATGATCATATCTCAACCTTATCAGACGAACCCAAATAGACCCAGAGTAGAATGCGGTAGTTTGTCTAATAATATCCTTCATGTCAAGAATTGAATATGGTCAGAGTGGGTTGTTAGAGGAAGCTTTTGATTATAGTCTGTATGCTATGTGATTCAACTTCATTCTTAATATTAGTTAAATGTATATGAAAGGCGCTCCAGCACCAGGCCTGAACCAAATTCATTTGCAATCAGTTTCATAAGCATAGAAAATATCCTAATTCAACATCAACAACCACAAGTTGATTTTCATAGAAGACAGTTAAATTGGTAAGCATAAACACATAAATATGTTGTATATAAAGTTCCTTCAAGCACATTCAAAATCAGGATAAATCATTTGATGCCGACATCAAATAGCCAAATTGAAAAGGGAGATTAAAGTAAAAAAATTGAAGAATAATGAATTTGGAGGAAACCATCCGGTCGCATTGCGTCGTTCATAATTCTTCATCGTATCTTCCAGTTCAAGGGCCTCCCTGACATACGTCAAATACTCACTGCAAAAAAAAAATAATAATAATAATTAAGTAGATACAATGCAGCTACTCATTCAAGCTATGGAATGATAGCTTGCAATTTTTTACTTTCCAGTACTAAAAGAACTGAGGTGAACTTACATACTTTCCTACATCAAAAACTGAAATGAAATCAGAACAGCACAGCTGTTGCTTCAGGGAAAACTACAACGAAATGAGAGAAACTCCAATGATGCAGGATAGAACACTAGCTAGTCGGGTTTGAACAACTGGCCAGAATGGTGGATGTGGATCTGTGGATTGTGGGTGCATATGTGTGTCTTTAAGTAACATGGTCTGTTCAAGATTGTGGGTGCATATGTGTGTCTTTATATTTTTTCGTTTGCTTTCTTTTATTTCTATTCAAGATTCCTAAACTACTCCGATTTTCATTTTTAGCTTTTTGACCAAGCAAAACCAGCACTTATGAACCTAGTAAGTGACCATGTGACGGTAACTTAAGTTTCTGAAGTAGTATGTAGCACCAAGATTGAGAAGTTCTAGAATCATTAAGGGGATATCATGAAGATTCCAAAAACCCGAATATAAATACACATCTTTAAGAATCTTTTACGGTCAGTAATTTCATCTACTTCAGATAATCAATTTTCTTTGGTCTACGAAAGCCTAGATAAACTTTTGCAATCTCAAGCTATCTACATTAGTTTTAACTACAGCGAGTTCTTTAAAAGGGTCTAAAATTGCACCTATTGAGCAGCCACAAACCTAAGCCCTCTTTGCACCGAAACAATGATCAGAACTTGAACTCTATCAAAAACAAGGTCAAATTTGGTGGTTGGATTGGATAGAATAGGAAATCAATCTAAGCCAAAGGAGATGACACACATCAGTGGGGCTCAATGATGTAACCTAGATTTGATACCAAAATAATGTAACGTGGCCCCTTTAACATTTTATCGAACACATAGCCTGCAAAATTAATAAACTACAGTTTCTATCCATTCATTTACAGTAAATTTGGATTACCGTAGATAAGAAAATTGAGAGGGAGAAACATACAAGAAATGGGGGAAATCTTAAAGAATCTAGGAGCCTTGAAACCTCAAAGGTAGGAAAGAGAGAGGAGAAATAACCAACTCAGTTTTCTCTCATTTCTTTCTTCTCTTTTTACTCTCCTTGACGTTTCAACGCTCGTAGATTCTCTAGGATTTCCCCATTTCTTGCCTGTTTCTCCCTCTCGCTTTCTTATCTACGGTAGCAAAATTTACTGTAGACGAATGAATAGGAAACTGTAGTTTATGAATTTTGCATGCCATGTGTTGTTCAAGAAAATGTTAAAGAGCCAGGTCACGTCATTCATGTTCTTCGGCTTTACATAAAGCAGCTAATGAAGAACAGAACCCGCATCAGGCATCAATTCATGTGCTACAAGAAAGGATCAAAATTTTATTTTGAAACGTTTCTATTTCCATGGAGACCGAAATGATTCAATAATGGAATCGAAATTCTAATACTTTGAAGTGTTTTGTAATGTTTCGAGAAATTTTTACAATTGTTTCGGAATGTTTTCAAGATATTTTGGTATATTTCGATTAATGTTTTAAAAATATAATTCTTAATTTTATTTTTTTTTCATTGTTTCCGAAACGAGTTGAAACGTTTTCAAAATTCGTCGAAACGTTTTCGTTTCCTAATGACTAAAACGATGCACCAAAACGAAATTTTGATCTTTGGCTATGAGTGACTATTTGAGCACCAATAGTTTGTCCCGCAATTATAAATAAGTAGCCCTGCAGGAGAAAATAGGTCCAAAACGAGTGGACGTAACTACAATTAATGGTCCTATACTTAGCTGCAAGTTCAAGATCAATGCTTTCATATTACTAATATTCCCTTCATCCTCTTTTGCATTACACTGAATTGTGTAGTTTTATAGAAGTAATTAAAGTCACAAAATTTGTAAGTGATCATAAGGTTGCCAGGCTGAAACCTGGTCACAACAGGATTGAGAGTTACTGCAGCAATCTTTGTTCCAAAAACTATTCCGCTTCTAATGACTAGCAGAAACAAAACATCACCAGTTCATTGTAAAAGATTATTCCACATCAATTCAGCCAAGTTTCTATTTTTTCAAGACAGCAAAAGGATTGCTTAGATTTGGCGGAACTGTAGTTAGCAAGATCTTAGCTCAACAATGAGTTTATGCAACCCACGAAGCTAGATATATGAAGCAAAAACAACAACCAACACCAATCAGCCACTCTTGGACCACACTATATAGTGAACTGGCAGCCATTATTCTCATACTTATGCCTGCTGTTGCTTTCTTCCTCCTTCTCTTGAAAAAAAAGTTCTATAAACCATAGGCATGTTAAATATTTTAATACTAAGATAATGCTTCGAATAAACATTTCAAGTATTTATCGAAACAAGACTTAAAAGGTGGAAAATCAAACTGGGACTATCAGTACAGTACAGTACATAACTCTTACAACCTAGTTAATTTGTCCATCTTATTTCAGAAAAACAAACTTAGCAAAGCTAGATGGCACTCTTGGGTAGGGACAAACCCTTAGATCAGGCCTATATATACCAACAGTGTTCTTATTACAATCTCCTTCCTTTTGCAGTTGATGAGAAGCCAGGAATTTGAGAATTTCCACCCTGGTCAAACTGAGACAGCAGATTCAAACCATGTTTCTGCGTCACAAATACTAAAGCAAACTTGACAAGACATGTTTTACCATCAACCCACCTTTAAACTCAGATATAGAGAGCATCCTACCCCAAAAAACGCAATGAAGCCTAATTCCAAATTGAATTGAACTACTTAATAAAAAAACAAATTAGAATGTCCAACACGGGGCACTAAAGCAAAATGGAAGTTATATGTCAGCTCCAAAATAGTAGCCAACATCCTTAGAGCTGTAAGCCAAAGTAAAATGGTGATGCAAAGCCACACTTAGCCACAACAACAATTCAAAAATGCCAAGTTTTACAACTAAAGATTTATTTGAACAAGGTATAACCGCAAACATTAAAAGCCCCACCATATGATTAACATGTTATGTATTTGATAAAAATATTTAACATGAAAAAAAAAAAAGAGCAGTGAGACTTCTTTTGATGGTATTAGCAGTCCCATAGATTAAGCTGTGCATGGTTAGAACTTTGAATTCTATTACTCGGGTGGCAGGAGCAGGAGGGCAGGGAAGACTGGAGGACAACCCCATGTGCCTAATATGGCTTATAAGGAGAGAAAGGAAGAGGATGAATTTCCAGTGGATCAGATTCTAAACTTTCCAATTTAAAAATGACATTATAACTTCAATACAAAAAGTTTGGAACATTTGCACCCCACCCTTCATGGATCTGCTTTTACTAATCAAAGAGGGAAATAGTGAAGCCTGATGAAGAATACAGATTACCAAGCAAAAATAAAATGAAAACGTATAATCAATGGACCACAAAGAGCAGGCAATGGAGCCGTAGTACTAAAATTTTAAAAGATTGTTCTTCATTGATGAAACTACCAATAGTTTACTTCATTATTGAATTTACCTTTTGTAGCGACAATACTCCTCCCGAGCTCCCCTAAGATTGCACCTAAGTGTTGCCATCGATTTCTCATCTGTATCATAGTCCATATCATTTTCCCCTAATTGGCCTCCTCGGGGTTTGAATGACGGGTCTTCTTTGAACTGGGGAACAGAAAAAAAAAAACATTTTAAAATGTGTGAACTACCTAAACCTTGTTAAAAATAATTCAGTTTGTAAGATGTACGAGGAGAAATACCATTTGCACTAACATATTATCAATAATATCCATGTAGGGTCTCAAAGGATCACGTTTGGATATCTGTTTGGATGTTGCCTGAGCAACCTGTTAAAGTTTGCCAGTATGAGAAAATTTGGAGATAAGCAACAAGAGATTTAGGATGATGACATATAGCTATGGTTATTGCAGATGCAACTACCAAATAGATTCCCTGTTTGGAACTGTTCAAACAAACTAAAAATCAAACAAGATGAGCAGACAGTTTCTCACCCAATAATTTTAAACAGCATAACCTACAGTGCATTTGCTCTCCAGAAGGGAAATATATTAGAAAGTCCATTAAAATCTCATACGTTTTCCCATTATTAGCCAGGTTACACAATAGAAATGATGACAATTTCTGAAGGGCAGAAATCCTAGGCAAGTGTCGGAACCCATGTGAAACAACATCCAGCCTTAGCATTATTTATTGTGCACTACTGCATAAGAGTCGAAAATGCATTGGCATGTCAGAGTTCCGCGTCACTTTGGATTGACATGCTGATACATTTTGCATGCCCTAACATTCCATTCTCTGTGATCATAATTGCACAAATGTCTTTGCACACCCCAAACAACTATTGCATTTTTTTTTCTTGTACTTCTTAATGGGGCACATCACAATAAGATTCAAAATGCTTGTTCTACCAAAAAACTATAATATCGAGGCATATGGCAAACTATTCAGATATATGACTAATGTCTCACTGAAATCCACAAAAGGGAGGAGAAAAAAAAAGAAAATTAAATGCAATGCACAGATGCAAACCAAAATAAATTCAAGATACTTCATATTGATCCATCAGTATATCCTAATCAATATGGTAATTCATCTCACCATTGCTTAAGTTAGGGATCCAGCTAGCTCAAGGTGCCGTGTCACAAAGTCATTCAATAGATAAGCACACATTAATCTAACCATGAGAAACGATGCCTAAATTTATTTTTTTTTCAATCAATGATGCCTTAATTGAAGACAAGGGAAAACCTCATAAGAGCTTCACATCACTCAAGCCAAATACTTTAAGTGTAGCAGGGCTGAACTCCTTGAGCTGTGAGATTCACCTCCTTCCCTCGATTCAGAAAAGGTTTTCTTACAATGGAAAGGAAGGCGAGAGGGACTAATCACAATAGATTATGGAAAGTACCAATCTGAATGACAGATGAAACCACCAAAGGTGTGTTGCAATTCTGAAAAACCAAGTACAAACATTTGAGAGAAGAATCTCAAATGTTTTAAAAGGGGCATTATGTCCTTTTGTTTATGAATAGGGAAAGCCCTTTAAATATCTCTGCATTTATAGAAACCAATTTATGGAAGCCATGCCATGATCAGCATTTGAGGGAGGAGGAATTTGCAACACTGTCTTTGGGGCGATAAAGAGAACAGTTTGGCCTCATTAATGTTGTTGGAAATTAGAACCTCATCATAGTGTCACAATTAGCTCAAAGTCACCAGAGTTTAGTATGGATGACTTCTCAACGTCACAAGAAGCGATTGATGGCATCAGTTAAGTGGTATCTAACAGGAACCCAGTTCTCTTAATGGAAAGGGCTTTCCATCCATTTCTGCGAACTGCTTCAGTGCATGGTAATATTTCACAACATTTCAATACATAGACTCATCAGAAGAACTCATAAGTTGCAGGGTGTACTCCGTGAGATGATAGATGTGTAGTATTTTAATGGCTCCATATCTGTGTCTACTTTGGCCTACAACAAGCACAAGTCTCATGTCTCAGATATCAAGACGCAGTATATTCATGACCCATTACTGCCTAAGGTGCTGAAAATGGGTCCAAGAGGCTAAAAGTCCACATTGAACAGACCATATGTAACGGGTAAGCGTTAATCATATGAACAGTCCAATGGTTCCAATATTAGGATAAGCCAACCGTGTAAGCATAAGGAATGAGTTGCAACTCGATTAGGTTAAGTAGGGCATCTTTTGCTAGTGGGGATTGGGGACTTAGTTTTTGGTTTCATAAAACGTGTAGGGACGGCAATGGACCGGGGGAAAACGGGTATTCGTCCAAATCCATCCCGTTTGGACCGGGGATTGACCATACGTATTGGACAGTAAACGTATACGGGGATATTTGTATAAACCCGTGCGGGGATGAAGGCGGGGATAGACTTACCCTTACCCCTGCCCCTCCCCCGCTATACCAGTTAAATATATATATATATATATATATATATATATATATATATATATATATATATATATATATATATATATATATTTATATAAATACTCCCAAATTGCTGCAGAATGCACCATTTCTCAAAACAATGAACCAAATCAATACTGAGCTAGTGACTCCACCAGGTATAAGATTCTTTCTTGCAGGATAAATGTAGTCTATCAGGACATGGAGATCAATGGCGAGTTGGTTACCGTTGTGACCATTGCCTACAAAGGATTACTCTGTTCTTTTCAATCTGGCTGATAGTTGGTTACCACTAAAGGTTTCAATATGGGTTCACATATCCACAAAGGGACAAAGGTTTCAAAACGGGTTGGTGATAATCTCCATGCAAGAAGGATAGATAGGTTGCTGATCTTTTGCCTCATGGTATCCAGCTGAGTTTATTTAGTATAGTATAGCATTTTGTGGGGTCAGCCTGATTATTTTCATTCTTGTTTTCCCAGTTGCTAGGGTTGTTAGAGTTCGATAGTCTTTATATTCTATCTCTACGTCCTTTAATCTTTTGTACTCGTGCTCTTACTCGTTGCTTGAATGAAATGAACTTCTTCCCTTATAAACCAACCAAAAATGAAGAAATTAAAAAAGGATAACCAAAACCTGCAGTTAGATTGGTTGCAAAGTTGAAAGCAATAAATATTCTAGTTGGTCAACAGAAGAAAAGGAATGCAAGTCCAGGATGAACTAGACTACGAAAAATTGCAAACAGCAAACCAAATTTAGATATTAAAACAAACACCACTAGGAAAACATAATGAAACCAAACAAGATAACAACCAAAAAAAAAAAATTTGAAAGTATTATATGGCTTCTGTAGACCAATTTGCAAAATTATGACTTCAAAATTGGCATCAGAAAGCACTTACAACAATGGCATTTGATAGCTCTTGATGCGCGTCATCAAGTTTCAAAGCCATTTTGGCAATTTTATGAGAAAGAACCTTTTGGCGAGTGATCCAGTCAGCATTTCTCCAAATGCTCTTCGGAATCTCGCTCAAACCAAAACCAAGAAGAAATGCACCTGTAACAAGTCCAAAAGTATTCGAGCAAGCCATGGGAAACCCCAATATACTCCTGTCACTGAAGATATTGACAAAATAAATAAGAAAGCAAATAATTGAATACCTAGTGAGAAATTATTATTCTTGCTAGTTTTGTAACACCATATGGAACCATGATTTCGGACCACCATATACATTTAAATATCCAACAAAAAATTGGCAACAACCACCAAACTGAAACAATTAGAAATGTCAAAAATAAACAAACAATCACAATCAGCAATATAATGTAAATCCTGATTGTGGGAAACTCCATATTTTGAAGTTCAGTGTCTTGCACCTAAGGTGTCACTACCAAAGATCAGGATCCTGCAATCACTTTTACTATAGACCACTTGCTCCTGTATTTGTCCTCAATTATGATATTTTTGGAACATTATAAGGCTTATGGTAAACAGAAGCTCATTGGAAGAGAGGATACAAAACATAAAAGGATTCCTTAAAATTATTGCAAAATAAATGAACAAAAGAAAATATTGCACAAAACAGGACACAAGTATACAACACCGAGGCATCTGACTCCTAAATCTCTCTTCCAAAGTAAGCGGTCCTATCAGCAAGGGGAATATTAAGGAATAAGACACAATAAAGGTACATAGAAGACTTCAATTCCTGAGATAACCTCGACTAGCCATCATCATCAATCTCAGAGAGGATAGAATGGACTCCAAATGACTTCTGAGACGATATAAGACTTCTGATTTCCTGATCTAACCATCCAACTATTTCTTCTTCACTGTCAGAGAAAAAAATCCTATCATCTTTCTTGCAAGTGTGGTCCAAATGCCACAAGCTGTAATAGGCCAACCAAACCACCAGACAACTGATTCTCCTTCAAATGAAACATGACACAACTCCTACATCTGCAATACACTACTGTCCAAAGTTTCAAAGGGAACATCCCTCACATTGAATTTTCAAATTCAACAAGGGCACCATCCAAATGTACAAAGTGGCCTTATTAAGAGTTTGAAAACCGACTACATCCTTAGAATGTTGATTACTTCTCTCCACTCAACAAATCAGCTTTTTGTTGATGGAGGGACCAACTAAAATGCATGTTTAAAGCCCTGCATAGATCCCAAAATTCATCCATAAAGTGGGCATAGCGCCAGGGCCCTCCTAGCCTTAGAGTCAATGACAACCAAAAAGTGGGGGAAAAAAACTACCTTGATCTTGCTCAACATATGGGCCTCATAAGAGTCTACAAGAAGAGCTGAAGACCCAGCTTATCCAACAAATAACATGCCAGCTGGTCCAAGTACAAGAAGGCAGTGTGATGTAGATCGTATTAGGGAAGAATTACGGATGAGAAGGGAAGAAGAAAGGGATGAGAAAAGAAGAAGAAGGAGGAGATGAGAATAGAGAGAATTTTAAAAAGAAGATTCAATATCAATAATCAATAATCAAAGTTTACCAAAACAAATACCATATTCCCTATATACATAGGGAGAGCACAAATCCTAAAAGAACTCTAAAAGAAATAAATAGTCATAATGACAACTAAATCCTTAAAAGTTAAAAAAAATTACTTAAATGATAAATATTAAAAGTATCTAAATAACTACCATAATTAATCTATCCAATTCCTACACGATCTTCATCATTCTCCTCCGGTTGAAAAAAAACTCTCCTCCGGAGAGTCTTCAAAGTAGAAGTACCCCAAGAGTGGAAGATGAAGATGACATAATGTCTCATCTAGAATGAAAGAACCATTAATATCTTTCCATCGCTCAGAATAAATGCAAGAATTTTCATCTGTAGCAATGTAATTCTGATCACGTAACACATTATCTATTTGTCCTGAAATACGCGATGAAAGTGGAAAGATAAGAGCTGGAGCGAATGCTGAGGAAGAAACAATTCCACTTGTAGAAACACCTGATAACAAAATAGGAAACTCCGGAGTACCTCGATTAAGTAGTATGTCCTCCAAATAAAAATCTGGACTAATACTAACATTCAATAAAAAATTAAGCAAATAAGCATTAGATCCAAACTCAAGAATAACAAAATAATTCTCATTAGATTTGAACAACTGACATTCAACGGAACAAGACATCAATGATAAAGGAGTGATTATAACACCTTGGTGCTGAAAATAAGAAAGTATAGACTCAATTGAACACTTGACAGTAGGCAAAGAATCAAAGTTAACAATCTCAAGTGGGGCAGAATCTAGAACAATGTCATCAATCTCAGGTGGAGAAGAATCCGAAACAAAATCAATAATCTCAAATGAAGAAAAATCCACAACAATGCCATCATGATTCGGAATAATACAGATAGAATAATTGCCAACAGATTGTAAAATAGATAGCTCAATATGCTCAATATCTTGCATAGGAACTAACTGAATGAACTTTTCCTCAAGTTCAATGCTTAGTGGTGATTCAACTTTTGGCACCGATGAGGTAGGAAACATGATAAGATCAAAAATAATCTCATCACTAGTATCAATGCTCAAACGATTGAAAGTATGTTTTGAAGGATGTAAAGCATGAGGCTCCAATGGAACATAAATATGACTATCATTATGCGGGTGTCCGAACAGAAATATGACTATCATTATTTTCTTCCATTTGCTGACTTGCAAAAATTTTATTCAAGTGAAAAAGTTGACTTGTTAATTCAGATAATTGGTTTTTTACCCCTCTACATTCTTCACATAATTGACCGAGTGAATGTTTAGTATTAGCAACTTCAATTTCAAATATCTCAACCTTTTTTCCTAGGGCAATTTGGGCTTTTGAATGGTCACTAATAACATTGAAAATTGATCCAGATTGACCTTGATGACGACTTTAGGAAGCATGATGTTGGTAACTGTTATGTGACCAAAGTGTCCCTGAGTCACGGTTCAAAGTATCGGCCGAGTCCGATACGACTCGGCCGAGTCGTATCCGACTCGGCCATAGACGATACGATAACGGTACACGAATCGAAAGATTGACGAATTTAACTTGTATCGGCGATATCTCGACGATATCTCGGACGTCTCGGCCGAAATCAAATGTGTCGGTGGAAACTCGGTTCAACTCGGGCGACGCGATTCGGAATCCTTCCGAGTCGAACACGACAATAGAAAAATTCCAAAATCTGACCCACACCTCTGCAAAAGATTATCAACACTCCTTCATTTTTTTGAAAAAAGAACAAAAATCCAAAAAAAAAAAAGGGGATGGGAAATAAAGCAGACCTACTGCCAGACTACCCATTGAAAAACTCAACACCCATGTGAAAATTGCAGAAATCAGATGAACCCCAAGGCTGCAAACCCCTATAAAAAATCAAGATTACTACCATACCTGTAAATCAAACCTTGAAGCATCTTCTTCATCTGATCTTGTGTGTCGTTCTTGTTCGATTCTTTGTTATGCTTGTTCAACTCTTTGTTGAGACGATTTTCTTCAGTCGCGAGGAACTGCACTGCATCTCTCTGTCTACGACTCTGGGTGACTCTGGGCAACTCTGGGCGACTCTGGGAAGTGAGAAAGACGAAGAACTTAAAATAGGTAGGAAAAAAAAATAATTTTTTATTTTTTACGGAATGTTTATATATTTATTTTTGCCTTAAAAGTAACATAAAAATAGTAGTTCAAATGGGTGGTGTTGCAAATTTAGCCGCAAGGTCTTTGGTTCGATTCCCTGCCTCACATGTAGTCTGGTTTGTTTTTTTAACCGAATATTTATATATTTATATTTGCCTTAAAAGTAACATAAAAATAGTGGTTCAAATGGGTGGTGTTGCAAATTTAGATGCAAGGTCCTTGGTTCGATTCCCTCCCGCAACATGTAGTCTAGTTTTTATTTTTTTTATTTTTTATAGAATATTTATATATTTATATTTGCCTTAAAAGTAACATAAAAATAGTGGTTCAAATGGGTGGTGTTGCAAATTTAGATGCAAGGTCCTTGGTTCGATTCCCTCCCGCAACATGTAGTCTAGTTTTTATATTATATGGAATTTTTATATATTTATATTTGCCTTAAAAGTAACATAAAAATAATAGTTCAAATGGGTGGTGTTGCAAATTTAGTTGCAATGTCCCTGGTTCGATTCCCTGCCTCACATGTAGTCTGGGTTGTTTGTTTTTTTTTTAACCGAATATTTATATATTTATATTTGCCTTAAAAGTAACATAAAAATAGTGGTTCAAATGGGTGGTTTTGCAAATTTAGTTGCAATGTCCCTGGTTCGATTCCCTGCCTCACATGTAGTCTGGGTTTTTTTTTTTTGTTTTAACCGAATATTTATATATTTATATTTGCCTTAAAAGTAACATAAAAATAGTGGTTCAAATGGGTGGTGTTGCAAATGTAGATGCAAGGTCCTTGGTTCGATTCCCTGCCGCAACATGTAGTCTAGTTTTTATTTTTTTAATTTTTTATGGAATGTTTATATATTTATATTTGCCTTAAAAGTAACATAAAAATAGTAGCTCAATTGGGTGATGCAAATTGTCATTTGCAGAACAGTGGTTCGACTCCTCCAAGACAAACATGCGTTTTTACATTATTGTCATAGTTAAATTACTTATTTATTGCATAAATATTAAAATTATTGTATTTTAATGATCAAAAAAATTATAACTTTAATGTAATAATTAGATACATCAATATTTTATAATAATAAATGAGTGGATATAATTTCCTTTTTTTTTATTTATAAAAAATATATGTTCTATTTCTAATTATATAAAATTAAATGTTACAATTACAATTTTTTTTATATTTAAACTATTTCAATCAATTGCATGTTACTTGTTTAATTATTTAGAATTTATGACATTTGTAGAATGGCTCCTAAAAAACACGACATTGGTTGGGAACACGCAACACCTGTTGGTAGTGATCGACGAATTACAAAGTGCAATTATTGTGGTAAAATAGTTCATGGTGGCATTACTCGAATGAAACAGCATATTGCACATGTATCCGGGCAGGTGGAAGGATGTCCACGTGCACCAAAAGAAGTGTCGCAATTCTTGAGACAACATCTTAGTGATTGTAGTAAAGAAAGGGCTTCTATAAAAAAGAAAAAAGAACGAATTATGCAATCATTACGAGATGAAGATTGTTACAACCTGGATGACGACGATGATGATGATGGTGAGAATCAAATTGAAGATGGTGATTTTGAAAGAAGACAGTTAAAGCATGCAATGAAGGAAAGTCGTCAAATGGCTTGGATGGAGGAAGAGGGTCGTAGGCATTCTGTATCAAATGCAAGCGGTCGATCATCACAACCATCAAGCTCAGGAATCAAGCGCGAACCACCACGTAGCTATAGCACAAAAGAAGGTGCAAGCATGCCTATAAGTGGCCTTGATCCGTACATGTTCCCGTCGAAACAAAAGTCAGTAAAAGGCATATTCTCAGGTGCGAACCTGAAAAAAGTGGGAAAAGCTATTTCAAAGTTCTTCCTCTTCAATGTCATACCATTCAATGCAGCTGATAGTGGGCCTTACTATCAGTCAATGATTGACACTATTGCGGATGCAGGCCCAGGTATAAAGGGTCCCACAGGATATCAAATTGGTAGTTCTTATTTGGAGGAGGAGGTTCAAGAGCTTGATGTGTACATATCTTCGATGAAGGTAAAATGGCCTCAGTATGGTTGCACAATCATGTCTGATGGGTGGAGTTCTAGAACAAAGAAATCCATTATCAATTTCATGATTTATTGTGACCGTAATATGATTTACCATACATCAATTGATACCACAAATATTTCAAAAACTGCTGACTATATTTTCTCTCTTATGGATAAAGTTGTTGATGAAATTGGAGAAGAAAATGTAGTACATGTAGTAACCGACAATGAGGCAAGCTTTAAAGCAGCTGGTAAGATGTTGATGGATAAAAGAAAACATTTATTTTGGTCTCCTTGTGCAGCTCATTGTATTGATTTGATGCTGGAAGATATTGGTCATATGAAAGCAATCAAGGAGACCATAGATGATGCTAAGACGATCACATCTTTTATCTACAACAGTCTCAAAGTGGTCAACTTAATGAAGCAACATACCCGAGATAGAGATTTATTGAGGCCAGGTATAACACGATTTGCCACTGAATTTATCGCCATTGAAAGTCTTATTCGTTATGAATCGGACTTGAAAAGAATGTGTACCACCGATGAATGGCGTGAGTTCAACAAAGACAAGACGAGGAGAAAAACAAGAGATATAGTCTCAAATCTTATTTTGACTGACCAATTTTGGAAGAAGGCTAGAGAAGTTCAATCTGTCATGGAGCCTCTTGTTAGAGTCTTAAAAATAGTTGATCAAGACAAAAAACCAACTTTATCAATTATCTATGAGGCAATGGACAGGGCTAAACTAGCCATACAACATTCAGTCAAAAATTGGAAGAAATACTGGGCTGTGATTGACAAAAGATGGGAGATCCAATTGCACAGACACTTACATGCAGCAGGTAAAAGTATTTAAAAATATAAATAGTTGATCATTGTGTATTAGCTTGTAAAATATTATAGTTTTTCACTAACTTACATTAAATTATCAAAAATTTTGCAGCTTATTTCTTAAATCCAGTTTTTCAGTATTCTAATCAATTTTCCAACCATCCTGAGGTAAGATCTGGTTTGAAAGAGGTTATTAAAAGATTGGAACCAGATTTGAATAAACAAGCAAGGGCAATGAATGAGGTATGACGATTTTTGATAATTTTTTATTATAATATGTGTATATATTTGTCGTTTACGTAATACATTACACAATAAATTGCAGATCAAATTATATACTGACAAACATGGCGAGTTTGGGAATGCACTCACTAGAAAAGCTGTACATGCCTCCCTTCCAGGTTTATTATTTAAACTATATGTATTTAGTAAAGTATCATTTGTTACTCTTATGGTCAATACTAATATTGTACAGTTTTTTTTTTTTGTAGCTGAATGGTGGATCAATTATGGTGACGAAGCTCCCCATCTGCAAAAAATTGCAGTCAAAGTTTTAAGCCAAACATGTTCATCATCAGGGTGTGAAAGAAATTGGAGTACATGGTCGCTAATCCATACAAAACTTCGCAACCGATTGGCAATGAAAAAGCTACATAAGCTAGTTTTTGTGCACTACAATATGCGGTTGCGAGTTAAAAATTTGACATATCAGCGTGAAAATGATGATTTTTATAATCCAATTGATTTGAACTGTATTTTTAATGATGATGATATATTAGATGAGTGGATAAGAGAAGGGGAGGAATCAATTTTACCACCTGATAATTTAGGTTGGCTGGATGAAGGTATTCGTGACATTGAAGAAGGTGGAAGTGGACGAGATGTAGTTGATGAAGGTGACACTAATACGGCACCAACATCTAGCAATTATGCCACTACCAGAAGATCTGAAAAAGATACGAGGCCAACTAATAAGGGTAAAAAGGCTATGAGAATTTTTGTTAGTTCTAGTGATTCTTCTTCTGATGATGATAATGATAATAATGTTGCTGATACTTATGGTGGTGGTGGTGGTGATAGTAGTAGTACTGATGATGATGATGCTAGTAATCATGGTGGAGATAAAGATGAGAGCAACAAGAGTGATGGTGGAGGGACTACTGGAGATGGTAGTGATACTCAGCTACCTGGCGGTATGTCATGGGCACAGGGGCAAGACAATTACTATGCCACACAGGATACAGACCATGGATATAGACCAGGGGCAATGAAACAACGAAGGAATTTAAACTCTTCCATTGGTGATGATTATTCCCATAGACGCTACCATCATTCACTTAGTCGACAAGATATTGACGATCATATGCAGAATTTGGGATTGACATCATATGAAGGATACATGTCTTACGGACATCATCAAAGTAGTGGTATAGAATCTAGCTATTCACATGGATCATATGGATATGGTATCCCTTCGCAGCTTTCGAGGTCTACTAGTACTAATAGTGCTGGGCATTATGGCCATCGCCCTACGCATCTTGAGAGATCTACTAGTACTAGTACTGGTGGTTACTATGATCGTGTTCCAAGGAGACATCATGATGGATCTTCTAACACAACATCGGATAGTGTCAACTTTTATGGATATGATCAGTCTTCTGCTAGTAGTGGCCGTGAATATCGTGGTTTTGGGTACTATCAGTATGGGAACCAGCCAGTACAACCTCCACAGTCACACTACTCTGATTATGGATCATCTAGTCAATCAATTCAACCAACCCAATCAGACCTGTATTCACACTTGTACTCTAATTCTTATGGTAGACAGTACCATAATTTGTATTATCCTAGAGACAATAACGACGATTTTGAACCTCATCGTCGTTCAATGTGGCAATGATTACAGCTCAATATGTTCCTAAATGTCTACATTGAACATTGATAATGATAATTATTTTCGCTCGTGATTTTATGTTTCATTTTAATTATGTTTAATGTGTTTTTAGATGTATTGTGGATATATGATGCATAAATGATAATGTCTATTTTTTTAGAATTTTTTTAAATTTTTTTGGAGCTTCTATCTTGCATTTTGAGCGTATCGTCCGATACCGCGCCGCGACGCCGCGACCGATGTGTATCAGTACCCTCCGAGTTCATGGCCGATACCGCTACTTTGAACCATGCCCTGAGTAGTATTCTAGATAATCTTCATAATAAAACTCAAACTTATTATAGACTTTATGATGACTCCGAGAAGCTCTAAGAGTGGAATAGGTATAATGATGACGTTGTGGAGAACTATGAACTTGAAACATTCTTGATATTGGATAAGTATATGAATAGGCATCATAATGATCATATGAACTCATGATTGACTTTAAAAGATGAGAATAACATAAAAATGAGTTCAAGAATGTAATTAATAATTATGAGAAGTGAGAAAACTTAAATAGAAGAAAATATGTTTTCAATCCTTTGCAAATTCTCTAATTTTTCAATGAATAAAAATATTAGTCTCAAATTTCATAGGAGTATGCATACCATAATCAAGAAAAAATTCTGAAACATTTAGGAATGATTCTGCAATTTTTGAAACTTCTAGGGGAAGATTTTGTAATTTTTGAAATTTCTGGGGGTAGTTCTGCAGCTTCTGCAACTTTCTAGGGTGTTTCTGTAATTTCTGGAACAACTAGGATTTTTTTGTAATTTTTTAATCTGCTGAGACAAATTTTTTTTTTTTTTCACTGATGAACAATGTTTTTGAATGAACAGTTTTTTTGGGTTAACAGTGCACGCGTGAACAGTGCGATGAACAGTAACTTCGTTTTTTTTTTTTCCCTTTTTCCAAATCGAAGTTAGGCTCTAATACCAAATTGATGTAGATCATATTAGGGAAGAATTAAAGATGAGAAGGAATGAGAAAAGAAGGAGATGAAAATAGAGAGAATTTTAGAAAGAAAATTCAATATCAATAATCAAAGTCTACCAAAACAAATCCCGTATTCCCTATATATATAGGGAGAGCACAAATCCTAAAAGAACTCTAAAAGAAATAAATAGTTATAATGACAACTAAACCCTTAAAAATTAAAAAAAATTACTTAAACGATAAATATTAAAAGTATCTAAATAACTATCATAATCAATCTATCCAATTCCTACACGATCCTCATCACAGTGTCACCTCAATTCTACTATAGTTCACAAACCCCCAGCCCCAAATATCCGGGAAAAAAAAATCAGTTTATTGAGCCCTCAACATGTAAACATTGTTTTCAAAAATTAATCACATAGCTAAAAACTAACTAATAAATTTAATATGCAGGAGATGACCCCAAAAAATAGCACACAAGCAGATGGTGAAATGAGACAATAAATGATTCTTCAGTGAGGAAGCTTTTCATGGGACAGTACATAAGTTAACAGCTGACTGAAAGTCTACAGACATCAACAACCACAAAAGAAGACATTTGATTAAACAACAAAGATGAACAAGTTCAGAGGTGAGAAACAAACCTAGGTTTTTGCATAGTAATGAGGAGAATAAGCCCAAAAAGGCCGACGGATCCCACTGCTAAATAGAAGACCAAGTTTACATGTACACTAGTCTTCAATCTTTCCATCACTGTGAAGTCTCCAGCATCTTCATAGCCCTGAATAAGGGGCACCACTAGCCTGATCAAAGAAATAGCACACTTTAATTACATAAGGATTTGCTCACCACTAACCTATACCCAGTTAGTTAGGGAGAGGGGCAGCATAAGTACAAGTATAAGTATTCACCTACAATAAATCCCTATATACACACGTTTGATACTCAGCATACATCTGTTGATAACCTCGACGAAGGGTAGTTAATGTTCCACAACACAACAAACAAACCTCCCAGAGAATTAAATACTAGCAATCTTCAAGTAAACCCTAACCAACTTTGGTCAATTGGGGTATAATACAGAACAGAAAAGGAAATAGAGGCCTGGGCCCACAATTTTACACAACGCATACCAAGTAAGCAAAAATGTACTCCAATACGACCAGCTCCAAAAGAAAGAGATTCCTCCATTGTCATGACCAATTATCGTCTGCATAACAATAACGAAATCATGAACGTTAGAAAACAGGAAACATTTGCACCCTGAAGGCGAGAAAGATAAGAATCAAAAGGTGCCTAACTTCCAGACTAGGACGCACGGATATGGGCACTGGTGTCGTATCCGATACGATACGGATACAGGAATTCGACAAAGTTTAAAAAGATAGAACACAGGTACAGTAAGGATGCGGCTATTAAAATAATATAATATATTTTTTAAATAATAATAGTGTTGTTATATATTCAAAATAAAAGATATATTATAACAATATTAATAATAAGATCTAACAAATATTATTTCTTTTGGATTAAAATTGAAATAGATCAAACTAAATATCTACTATTTTCATCAAACATCATGACATCCATTAACATTCATAATATATAAGTTACATAACAAAAAATATATTTAAAAAAGTAAAAATCACAATCTTTTTAATAGTTAAAAGTTATTTTTTTTTAAAAGAAAAATTTATGTTCATGTCCTAGGCATGTCCGACTAAGTTCACTATTCAAGACATTTCTAGCCATGTCGGACATGTGTCTGAGACCGTATCCGTGTCCGACACTAACACGGCTCCCTTGTGGAAGTATCCGTGCTTCCTAGCTTCCAGAATTGTTGGAATGTGGCTAAAATGCAGTTAAAGAGATCTGATGGTGGAGTTTGTTCATTTTTTTCACACATGTGTGGTTAATGTGTTAACTTTATTGTCCAAAGAAAGATAAGAATCCAAAGGAGAGACACACAAACTAGCATGAAGTAAAACCAAGTGAAAATGAACACCAAAAGATAAAGCCAAGCAAATCCAAGAAACACATTTTGTAGAAAGCGTCTGTCTCTCAAGTTTCATTTATAATGATCATGTTTCATAAATGGTAAACGCAAGTTTTGTAGGACAATGGCATGGAATGATCTTCAACCAAGTCTGTTATATTCTAAAGGGATCTTCTCATTTTCATTCCTCTCTTTGTTCTTTATTTTTTCATGAATCTTTACTCTTCATATTTGTTTTGGATACTGCTGTTTCCCCAGATCCTAACCATTTAATCATAGAACTCCACCTTAATTTTCAAACCTTCAATTTTTCCTGCTTACCAAGGTCAAGCAAGCTTTTCTTTATCATTAATAGTTCCCGTGCAATCCGTCCATCTCAATATTAACATCTGAGTTAGCCCATAGTTAAAACTCAATGCAACATGTACAGGAGATTACCAAATTCCTGCAACTAAGGCTCATATTCCACAAGCTATAGGGTAGTTGAAACAACCCAAAAGAAGAAAGAAATAAGGAAGATCAACGAAATTTAATATCTTTATTCTCAAAAAAATTCTCCCAAACTCTTTACGACAGGACCCACATATCATATATGCACCACACCACTGATATATCTGGCCTTCAAGCAATTGACTTTCATTCCAACACACGTTCCCCATTTCTTCACTTGTGGTTGATTCCAACACCCAAGTTGATGCCACCTAAGTCCAAGTATTAGTAGAATTTCACTAATCTTGCCCAGACAGCATTTAATACACTCAACTACAGCTCAAAGTTTCAAGCATAGAATGCATACAACAAAACCAAGTTGAATAACTCAACTCTCCTCCTGACCATCCTTTTTCAAAACCCCAAATTCTTTCAAACTCCTTTTCCTTTTGATCAACTTAGCAAATATTAGAAAAAAGTACGCGGAAAAGTAGAGTTAACGCAAGCTTCTTGCAAAAATACGCTAATATTATGTAATTAACAAGGCAGGTCAAATTAATTACGCCCCAGTAAACAAATTAGCCCAATGCAACAATAATTATCAATTTAACTAAGAACAAAGCCCTAATTAACACCAAATATATTTCAAAACGATATAAACTTAAACCAAATAAACTCAACTACGATTCATAGTTCCCATGCAGTGACAAAAAACTCAGGAAACAAAAGCAAGTGAAAGGAAAACTGAGGAATTGGGAAAGTACCGTCCAAATGTCAGCAGGGACGAGGATGATGACGGAGATAGAGCAGAACCATGTGTATCCTACGGTGAAGTATACATATCGAGGTACGTATGGACCGGCGAAGTATTTCAGAGTAAATATCACCATGCCCAGTGTTAGAGGCAGCGATATCAGATAGAACACCCACATCTCTCTCTCTCTCCTCTCTCCTCTCTCTCTTTCTCTTTACGTTCTCTTTCTAAAGCAATCGACTCTCTTTCTAAAGCAATCGACTCTCTTTCTCGACGATGCTACGCTCGGGGAAGAGAGAGAGTACAGGATCTGATGATCGAGAAATTCTCTGCGATCGCGGCAAAAGTTTTCTTTCAGCTAATGTGCGCCATCTATTGCGTTTCTTGCGCCTGGCTTCTTCTTTGCCTCGCTCGGTGCATCGTACGCGTCGCGTAGCCTTCTCTATTGAACTTAATAACAACTCGGAGCGAAAGAAATTGTCTAAGACAACATATATATATATATATATATATATATATATATATTATAAGACCCTTGACATTAGGCAAATGACAAAAAGACCACCAAATCTAAAACTTAATATTTAATAATATTAAGGTTTTACTTTTTATTTCCTATCATATTTAACACTTATTCAACAATACTATTCACACCACTTTGGCACCATCTTTGTGCACTATCTTAATAAACATCATTAAATTAGTAAGTCACACAAAATATTATCAAATATTCGATAGTTAGTCTGGTATCACATTAAGTAGTGTACAAAAGTGGTGTACAGAGCATTGTTCCATTTGATTTGTCCACCCTAGTTGAAAGCAAACCCTCTTCTCCAAAAACTTCATCCCTATCCATCGCCCTTACGAAGCACGAATATTTTGTTAAGGTTGACGTATATATATTTGATATCATATCGGATACGATATTCGAAGATACATATCAGATACACTTTATATATATTCAATAATAATTAAATATTATGGTACTTCACAAATACTTTTGTGATCGAGCAACATGTATAATTTTTGAGTTAAACTTTTAAAATCTCTTTTCGAATTCATATATCATACAATACATTAACAAAAAATTCATATTATTCTAAAGGCATATAAGTGTTTTTTAAGTATTATCTACAATTACATGTCAAAAGAGTATAAAATAAAGTTATTACATTATTATCTTAGCAAAAATTACGTCTAAATATTAGGTAAATATTAGTTTTGATTCTTTTAATTAGTCACTTCACTTTGTAAATATACTACAACGATATGATATATATTTTCTTGAAACTAAAAAAAAATATTAATTTTTTTTATTGTATATTAAAGAACTACCAAAATACATAAGTATTAAGCTGGTTGAAAATAATAAAAAATATTAAATATATTTTATTATAGTCGTATCTTAATCGTACCCGTATCCAATTTTTTTAGATTTTATCGTATCGTCATACTCGTATCGTATCGTACCCGTATCCCATAACCGTATCCATACTTTATAGCTTCGCACTCATCCTAGCCCCCCGCCCACGCGCACACATAAATGTGTAGATATGTTTTTTTCAACTCATTCTCCCTAAATCTCTACGAACTGCCACAGAACCACCCCTTACTGGTGCACATCCATCGCACCCCATAAATCACCCAAGACATCACGAACCACCACAATTCATGGCTAATTGAGATGATGTTATCGATGAATTCATGTGCTGCATTTGGATAAAATCTTGTTTGTGCCCGTCTCGAATACAATGGCAAGTTTTTGTATGACTTAGAATGCCTACTCTTAATTTTGCTCTATAAAAGGTTTGTGTTTGATGGGTGTGAGCCTATAGCGCCTCAACTTGTGTTACATACTTGCTTAAATAAGATTACTAGAGTTGATTACAAAGTGCAATGTTGGGATAAGCACTATTTGATGATAATAGTTATGAAGATGCGAGGAAAGGCACATCACGTGGGGGTCATGCCGTGGGAGGAAGGGGATACAAGGGTTGTAGGCAAGCATAGGTAGCTAGCTAGGGGTTCACCTAAATATTGGTACTCTTTCTCATTCAATTTTGAGTAAAAATCATTAATAGCCCTTCACATTTATCAAAAATAACATAGTCATTCCTAGAAGTGTCAATCGTGTTGGGTTAAACCGTTACGTGTCGAGTTAAACGGGTGACAGGTAAAAAACGTATAAATTCATACACGACACGTTTAATAAACAGGTAAAAAATTTCAACATGAACACGACATGACTCGTTTAACCCATTTAATTTAAAAAAAAATTTATCAACAAATTTTAATACTCTATTTTTTTTTACTACTAATTGCACTTACCTCAAAAAAGAGGAATTTAAATCAAATCTCATAAAAATAAGACTTGAAGGCTTTTAAAAAAAAAACAAGTGACTATTGTCTTTTATAGGCAACCTACCCTCTCCTTCTCCCCTCATTTTTCAAAGTGGGACAAAAATAAAAGACATTAGTTTGCCTTTGTTTTTGAAGTGCTCTCCAACTCTTCTTTTTTGTCTTTGAACTACTACTTTATTTCTTTTTTTTTAAATTAATTTTTTTACTTTTTTTTTTTACTAATTTTTAAAAATAATTATTAATTTATTATTATATTAATTTTATTTAAACGGGTAAACATGTGATAAACGGTTGGACATGTCTCACCCGAACACAACCTGTTTATTAAACGTGTTTGGCGTGTCAACCGGTTTATCACCTAAACCCGTTAATATTTCACCCAAATCCGTTTAATTCGTGTCGGTTAATCGTGTCGTGTCGAATTTTGACAGCCTTAGTGATTCCATAATACCTTAAAATATTTAGATAGTGACTATTTACATTTAAAAAGTTGCATCAAAAATACTCCTTCACTGCACTAAGGACTATAATGGTCATGTCTCAATTGACATTAGAATCATGCCAACGCCATTGAGCCTTGACCCATCTTTATATTCGTGATAATGTCTATGATCACCAATTTTCACGATTGATATGCTAAGCAAATCAATATTGTGATAGGCTATTGAATAGTGCAGTTTTGCGTGGACTTTGGTGTCCCACAATAAAATGGGCTTTGATAGAGTCTTGGCGTGTGTTTGATGGGCGTCCTAAATGGGCTTTTAAGACGAGAAGTGCATGCATTCGTCTGACGTGTGATGTGAACTGTTTGGCGGATTCACACTCCCCGCTTCCTGACCCGAAAGTGCATTATTGGAATTACCATTTCTAGAAGCTAGAAAATGTGACTTCTCAAAACCGGTCCTTTTCACTTCTCACGAAGTTGTCCACTGCCATTTAATTGATTTAATTAAATTCCAATGTTATCCTTAATCTTTATATGATAATATCAATTTTAACCCTACATAAAAACTAATTTTCACATTGATACCCAGAGTTAGGCATCTATATAATAGATTAGATAGGTGTTTGAACTATGGAGATATATTTTTCCCTCAAAATTTTACATACCCAACACAAACTTTCCCCCCAAATTTTAAAAACTCAATATACATACTCAACAACACACAACTACACATACATACATAAATTCCAACACACACATTCCAATGCATGCACAGTGTTATAATTCAATGTATAGTGACTTAAGTCACATGATATCGCTAATATAAATATAAAACTTGATGAACATTTTAGCGTAAAAAGTGAGTATATACTTTGGCTTCATGATAGGGGTGGCTCAAGGTAATCTGAGGCCTAAAGCGGTAATATTAAATTAGGTTTTTTTATTTTTAGTATTATTTTAAAAAATATATATATTTTTAATTTTTTTTAAGTGAGAGAGGAGGATGTGATGCTTTTTTTTTAAGAGAGAGAGAATAGATGTGAGTAAATATAAATTGAGTTTTGCATTTTTTTTTAAAAATTTTTGATTTTTGAATTTCTAATGTTATGAATTGAATTATAGGCCCAAATTATTGAAATTAAAATTTTTTGATTGGGCTTTAATTTTTTGGGGCATTTTTGTAAGACCTAAAGTTTTTATGGATTTAAATTTTTTATGTAGATTAGTTATGTATCTAAAATTATAAGGCCTTTTAAAAATTTAGGTCTAAAACTCATGATTTTTTTTTAATAGTGGTGGGCCGGCCCTGCTTCAAGAAGATCTTTGGTCACTAGATCCATGCTTTCACCTATTGAGAACTTTGATCTTCTTATTTCCAATACGCTTCTCTCTACGTTGCCATTATTCAATAATCACCTATTGTCATAAACATGCACTTTCATATTGGAGAAAGCACAGAAGGAGAGAGGGGGGGGGGGGGGAGAGAGGAGGAGGAGGAAGAGGAGGAGGAGATTTTGGTCTCTTGAGAAACTCTAACACCATGTGATTTGAGAGAGTGGTGAAGAGCCTTGAGAGTTACAGAAGAGGTGCGGAAATGAAGATGGTGGAGGTGTGTCGCACGCCAGTACTCCACTTTCTGTGTTTCATTGTTATTGCATTTTGCATAACCTTTGCAGATTACGAGTTTTCTAAATAATCTTGTATCAATTGTTATGCTTGTACTGATTTGTTTGAAACTATGTTAGATACCTTTCATGGTGAACTAGTAAATAAAAAATGATATGAACACAATCTAACTTGCATCATCTAATGTGACATGATCATAGCATTCGAAAATTTAATAAAATCAATGAGACCCATTAATCTAACGATCTACATTGAGATGGTGCATAAAAGTAACAAGTGTAAACTACATCATAGGACTAACAATATATATGTGTGTGTGTGTGTATATATATATATATATATATATATATTAACAGGAAGGGCAATGTTACGAATTAAGTGTAATTTTATACTTTGACACCGAACATGCTGTTATGTGGAGGTGCCCTTCCTAATTTAAAAAGACTTTCACAGCGCATTTGCACCAAACACTTGGGTATTTTTTAAAAGTTCATTGTATAAAGTCCATTCTACAAATTGACTTTTAATATTTTTGGTGAGTGAAATGATGATCAAGTCCAAATATGGTTATGACCACGATTGGGAAGACAATTTTTGATACCATATTGATCGTAGTAGATAATTTTTCTTTCAAATTCTTACATGGCTATGTACAAGATGTATGTATGTTGTAATGATTTTACTCATTTTGAGTGTTTCTTTTCCGACCTATATATGTATTTATGTGTATATATATATAAATTTAATTCACTATTGGGTTAGTAATACTTTTGATCCTTAAAGTATTTATTTTTTGTTAATTTAGTTATCATTGTATCAATTTAATCATTAAAATATTTAATGTGTGTCACTTTGATCCCTAATTAGATAATCCGTAAAATTTTTTAAAGAAAGTGACCACGTGTCATTTTTTTAGACGGTATCACGTGTTCAACAAGTGATTATTCCGTCAAAACTTAATGGTACGTCTTTGTAGAGAACAAAATGACATGAATTAAATATTTTACGGATCAAATTAATA